TTGCTTATGTTACTCAAAAAAAAAAATTTGTTAAGCATTATAAAGATATAGAACAAGATAGCTCTCTGCTGGRAACAATGATTGAAGGTCTCCTCAGACATCCAGCCACTATAACTCACAGGAAATAATAGCAGAATTGGGCTTTCTATTTACTGCAGTAAAGCAACCTTGTCTATAAACTCCTTATTGCTGCAAACCAAAGGTGTGCGTCTGGGGAGGGCAAGATTTTCCCCTTGATGTTCCAGGACATGGAAATACAATCCTTTTTCAGACACAGATGTTTGCAATAGAAAACTTTCACTCYACTCTCTTCTGTTTTTAATCTGCTCATGACAGGAAACACAGATTCAAAATGAATGTAAAGAACACAGTCACCATAACTGATGATAATACAAAAGAACACATAGGAAAGATTTCTTTTTCTCCCAACATATTATAGGCAGAAAAGGTTTASAGATTTCAGAAGATTCTAGGTGTTTTTATTTCTCAGTGGCTACTAATASAGTGGTTTTCTATCAACTTCAGAGGATCCAGCTCTCTGCAATGCTTTGATACTACCAAGAGTTTCAGCATACAAGAGACAGTACAACTCTTCTTCATGCTCCCTGCCATATCTTCAGCACTTCCAAGTGACTACACTGCTAAAGCTTCACTGAACAGACAGATGTGTAAAAATGGCCAGAGATTCTTCCCTAGCATGTGTAAAATACAAAATGGAACAGGTAAGAGTCATTGATTCACCCTCTTCAGCCAGTTTTGCTGCTAACCTCTAGGTTCTCAAGAATTTCAAAGATGTGCTTTTTAAACTACGCCAACSTACACATCTCAAGTGAAGTTCTTGATGTGTGACACTGTGAAGGGTTTGACTGGACTGTTTCCTGTGCTGTTCAACCTTTTCCACTTACTCTATTCTTCACATCACAACCTACCTGCTCTCCCTTCCCTGCCTTCTCCAGTTTGCCTAAAATCCCCTTTCCTTGTTCTTTCATTCASACAGGACCTTGCTAAGGACATCCTTCACCTGAAAAACATTTGCATGTCTATTTGTGCAAATTCATTTACCACACTGTGTGTCATGCACTCTTTGATCTGTGCCCACTTTTTTTTACCTATGAGCTATTTGGACTGTCATCTAGTGCATGCAATGCTGTAGCAAACAATAAAAACAATTATAGTTACCCCTCCCACAAGCTACATTAAAATACATTATCAAACACTCAAAAATTGAGAAATGACAGCATCAACCCTGTGATTTAATTAATTTCCCTCTCTTCTTCTGTATAAATATTATGATACTGTCTCCTAGCTATATCATAGTATATTTTTTCTGCAAATGTCTTGTTTCATTGAGTACTGTTGTTTTTTTTAAATACTTTTTAAAATCCAAAACGGTGTTCAAATCTTCCTTACCACAAGATTGCTGTCATAATCCCTTAATTGAGTAAAAAGTTAGTCATTTCCTTCTACATTTTTCTTTATTTTTATCAGAGGATGTTGAATCATGCAATGGTATTAGTTAAATAATTTTGACAATGCTGACTTGAATAGCTATTACTCTATTTTAAAGATGGTGATAAAGCACAAAACAGCTTAAGCAACAAACATAAATCTTRCATGTTTAATTAACAGACAGATGTTCTAATACTTTAGACTTTTCATGTTTTTGTATATGGTATATTGGAAGCACAGCAACAAAAAAAATAGCTTTTAACTAGGAGTGCAAAGAATTTTGGACAATTTTTTCAGGTGAGGAACAAAAAATATTTTAGTGCACATGATTTTTCACAACAGCAAGGAATAAAGTCAGGTTTTTAAAATTTATTCAGCTTCTTGAACAATTCTTCCATTTTATGCTCTGCTGCCAAAACAACTTCTAATTTCTATGTTAGTTAAGACAAGGAATTTGTGCAAAAAACTCTCTACACATCCCTAACAGAACCCGCCAGGACCCTGTTCTCATTGTAGATCAGCTAAGGCTGAGTCCCATAGAAATACTGCCTCTTCGAGGTTTAATGGAAATAAAAGTGGAAAAAAAGAATCACAGACTTTCTGTTCTGCTTYTAGAACTTCCTGCATCATTACTAATTAACTGAGCATGTGCCTAATCTTAAATAATTTTATAGCTATTATGTGTAGTTTTTTCCCTGATTTTGTAATATCCATTTTTAAACATGGAAATCCAAAGTGGATTTAGAATTCTCTGAGTGATACCCCAGTACTAAAAAATTGAYTATTTGAGCTCCTGGACAGCATCAGCAAATAGATTTGCTCGTCCAACACAATCTCTAGATCTTTTGCAGAAGCACCATCTCCCACGGGACAAACACTGATCTGAAAAACTTGGTCTAAAACTCAGGTTTGTAAGAAAACAGTCAGTTTGGTGTTATTAAAAACAGAATATTGCACTGGTAATATTTTGACTGAGTTCTGGTTCACCAAAATTTCCTAATTTGGGCTCTGCAGCAAATTCTTCACATCTCAACAGTCTTGAATAGATTCGTAATGTGCATTGGAATAATGGGTAGGGGGAAAGTGTCTAGGAATAAAACATGAGAACAGTCAGAGGTGTTTCAGCAGCAGCAGGAAATGTCAGAGGACAATTAATATTAGTAATGAWCCTTTCTCCCCTCCTAACTTGGCTTTCTCTTGGGATGCAAGCTGTCTCATCTTTTCTGGGATTTGCAAGCCAACCTCCTTCTAATCTCACCCACCTTGCACACTCACAGCACTCTCTCTCCTCTCTCTGCCTGCACGAAGAATATCCCATGTTTATTCTGCCCCCACCACAGCAGTGGGCTTTTCTTGTGTTAAAGAGCTCCTGTAAATATTGCATTGATTTTTAATTTGTTCAGCTTTGGGTTTAATAAAGACTTAAAAGTAGTAACTCAGCCTCAGTTCTGGYTAAAGATTAAAAATCTAACTTTAATTCAACTTTTTACTTTGGTTTCAATCTGATTTTAAAACACACTTTACTGTAATAGACTCATACTATCTGCACCATCATGATGTTTTTAGCGTTATTTACCAATCTGTCAATATTTGTGTCAATGGCACATTTCAAAAATTATAAATTATTCAGTATCTGTTTCCAGATTACCAGCAGTTTACCATAAAACTCTAACAAGTACTTTTGAAGGCCCATCATCTGATCAGACCTTAGTCATTTCATGCATGTTTCTTAGAATATTCTGTGATACTAAGTGAAAAATATTATAGAAGTCAAAAAAGTATCACCTTTTACTGTTCTATTTATTAACTCAAATTCTAAKAACCTTCAAAATGAGCACTAATGCTTTTTAAGTAGTATTAACTGTATCTKCATTCTTTAGTTTTTCATTGCTGAATTCTACATAGCTTTTCTTATAAAAAAGAAAATGATTTTCTCATCATTTTGCCTCAAACCAATGTTCAACTTGCTGATTTATAACCATCCCTCACACCATCAGCATTTGCCTGATGCTCCACTCAGATCATATCTTCGCATTCATGGAGCAGCCAAAGGCTCTTGTCTAATCATTTTTTTGGTCTTAGGACTGGAAAATTTAAAAAAAATACTCAAATTTTCAGCTTCTTCCCTGGTGTTTCCCACGATGAGCTTCATGTCATTTTTGCCTAGTTATATTCTCAAAAACGGCTCACATATTATGGCTGAAACACTGGATAAAAACATCATGCAAAGATGAATATCGCACACATAAGTTTTCAGATCAAATCATAAAAAATACTTCTAATGATGACGCAAATATTTTTTTTTAAAAAAGTGTAATTTCTCGATTCAAGTTAGAGTCCTCAAAAAAAATTAAAGTCGATTTTTTTACAATCTGTATTATCACAGTGCCTGAGAAAGTAAATGACGATTATGCTCTTATGTACTAAGCACTCTTCATACACGGTTTTAAAATATAAAAATCGTCACTAACTAAGGCATCAAAGTGAAAATAAATAAAGAGTTATGTAAATTTACAGTGGGTTTAACAACTAAAACTGCTTCCAGATTTTAGCGTTAGGAACATTCCATGATAATATCCTCAGTGACGGGTTTGGAGTTGAACTTGGTAGAAATGAACCGGGGAGAATCCTGGCACCTTTCGTAGAGGAGCTGACAGGAAGGGCTGATGTAAAACTTCTTCAGGAGCATGCCAAACCTTGTTAGTAACTTCGGTGTTTCTTGCTTTGATTCTGTTACCTGGTGCAACAGAAGAAACTTGGGCACAAAGACGGATGTTAGGAAAATTAATCCACGAGCACCAGAGGTTTATGTCCAAAAAGGAGACAGAGGAGTCCCGCAACTTTATTCATGAATAAAGGGAGAGGTCATGGGCATTTCCCATGGGGTCTCTCAAATTCATAGAGGACGCAGTTCCCTCTTTTATCCCAATTTCCCGGCTGCAGTTCCCTCTCTCTTTCCCCATTGCTGAGGTACTTGAGAGGTACAGGCTCCCCAAAACACCTGATGAAACCCCCCTTCTATCATAAATTGCCCTCTTTCAATGTGTCTCTACTCTGGTAGTCTATTAACATAGTCTGGGATAAGTCAATCCGTGGAATTCCTATGGAAATCCTTCYCATTGTTTCTTTTTTATCTCCCAGTATCAGCCTTATCTCACCCCAGAGTCAGAGTTTGTTTGTAAAGACATTCCCTTCTCCTTTCCAGGACAAGCTGTGTCCCCAAAGGCGCTGGACAACAAACGCGGCTTCTGCCTCGAYTTTCGGGCAGAGCAGCGCAGATTGAGGGCAGGGAGTAGCTTTCTGTGGGGTGTTTTTGGTGTTTTCTGACTTTAGCTAGTTAGACATTTTGCAGCAGCGGCGAGGCTGCCGATCCCTCATGGAAAAGCTGCCGTGGGCACGGCCCGAAGGGTTCAGGAACCAAGGAAGCCTCTGAGGGGACAGAGGCCATTCCAAGGGCACCCCGAAGGTGAAGCAGCACCCATGAAAGGACAACCCTCACCCCGACAAGATCCCGACAGCAGCACCGCCCCTTCCCGGTGACCGCGCCCTCACAGCGGCGGCTCCGCCASCGCGCCTGCGGGACATGCGCGGAGCCTGCCGGGCTCCAGCCCCGCTTCCCTCCTCCATCCCGCCTTTGCTATGGCGACACCGAGCGGTCTGATCCGGGCCCTGCACCGCGGGACCCTCGGCCAGGTAACCACCGGCCTGGGCATGTCGCCCGTCGCTTCCCGGTGTGCCCGGTTTAGGGACGAGCCCCGCGCTCCGGGCACGGCCGCCATCCCGCCCGGTGCCGCGGGCCGGCTGTGCGCATGCGCGGGGCGGGGCTGGGCGGGTTCCTGCCGCCCCTCAGAGAGCCGCGCTCCCGGTTCATCCCTTCCGTGTCCCATCCCTTCCCGTCCCTCCCGTGTCCCGGCTGGTTCTCGCTGGGAACCGCGATCCCGGCCCGTCCTTCCCGTGTCCCGGCTGATTCTCGCTGGGAGCTGCGTTCCCGGTCCGTCGCTGCCGTTTCCCGCGTGGTTCTCGCTGCCCCTCAGGGAGCCGCGCTCCCGGCCCGTCCCTTCCGTGTCCCGGCTGATTTTCGCTGGGAGCCGCGCTCCCGGCCCGTCCCTCCCGTGTCCCGCCTACTTCTCTCTGGGAGCCGAGTTCCCGGCCCGTCCCTCCCGTGGAAAAGCTTTTCCCGTGGAAAAGCTCCCGTGTCCCGCCTGGTTCTCGCTGGGAGCCGCGTTCCCGGCCCTCCCGTGTCCCGTGTTCTCGCTGGGAGCCGAGCTCCTGGCCCGTCCCTCCCGTGGAAAAGCTTTGCCCGTGGAAAAGCTCCCGTGTCCCGGCTGGTTCTCGCTGCCCCTCTGGGAGCCGCGTTCCCGGCCCGTCCCTCCCGTGGAAAAGCTTCTCCCGTGGAAAAGCTCCCGTGTCCCGCCTGGTTCTCGCTGGGAGCTGCGTTCCCGGTCCGTCCCTCCCGTATTCCGGCTGGTTGGAGCCGTGTTCCCTGCCCTGTCTGTCCCTCCCGTTCCCCGCTGGTTCTCCCTGGCTCCTCATCCTCAGGGGCTTTGGCTCCGTGAGGCGCTCGGGGAGCGAGAGAGAGGAACGCCTGAGCGTTCGAACGCTGKGGTTCCGCTGGGCGTTGATGCGAAATTTCACCGTTGGTCTTTACTTCTTCCCCAAAACAATACCGTCTGGTTTAAAATGCAGCTGCTGGCTACAAACTCCTTCCTTCTGCAGCAGGAAAGAAAAGATCAAAACCGCATAGGTGTGTGAGTGGATGTATGTCAATCCACTCACCTTGGTACTTGCACGACCTCAGTGGGGTGTGGTAGTGTTTGAATTTCTTTAACACATTTTGGATTTTCGTTGTAACCATAAGGAGCCTTCCCTCTTCTGGTTCCTCCCCATTCTATTAGAAAATTTAAATAAACAACTGACTACATTGATTGTGTTTGGTAGCATAACCCTGAGCCAAGTTGGGTATATTCAATGACCTTGTGTTTGTAGGCAGCCTCCTTCATAAAATTTTATGTCTGTGAATGGCTTGCTTTAGAAATTGAAGTCTTTATGTAGCTTGTAGCCTTGCTTTTAAAATTAGTGGAAGAATTTGATGGCAATGCTAACGTTGCATCATTTTAGAGGATGTTTTCCTTAGCTTTTTCATTAAAATCTTGCTCTTTGCATGTCATCCAAACCTGAAGGGTAGGGTATGTTTCAATAATGGAATACATTATTCAGAATGGGTGCCAGGGTACATATGTCTCATGTTACTTGTGAGAAGAAATAGAGTAAGTAGAAGATCAAAGGTGCCTTTCAGTTTCTTGGCATAATCTGTATTGTCTGTGAATTTGCAGTAAGTGAATTCTGTTAACCTCAGCCATGGAACTGATACTCAGAGCACATCAAGCTGTGACACATTAACAAAAAGTTGGTGTATGTACTGGTGAATCTGGATAAACTACACGTTGCAATACTATTTCAGAACCAGGATTTTAAAAATTAAGACATCAAGGCATATTTCATTACTTTCTAAAACAGCTAATACCATGCAAATAACCTGGAGTCTGCCCTTTCTGTTCAGGAGGAGGAGTGAAAGCAAAAGAAGAAGAACCTGTTATGCCATATGAAGCTTTGATAACTGATATTTTACTTAGTAACTGTGTTCTTTCTACTAGCTGTTAGTTTGAGGCAGAAGTAAGGCTTCTACTTGTATTTTTTTGTTTCAGAATTCTGTTGAATTGTAACAATATAGAAGATCTAAAGAATCTCAATATGGAAACACCCAAGTTTATTGAGTAGGACATGTCGTAAGGTGCTTTGATTTAATTTCGCTTATATATGCCAAGATTTCTAATACTTAAAGTTTGAACAGTTACACTGTCCCTGTAATATGTTGCCAAAGCAGATCTTGCAAAGATACCTCAAACCAGTCATCATTTTTAGAGCTCAAAAGTTCCTTGTGAAATATTGAAAGGATTTGAATATGCTTATCTTTCCTGATGCACATGGTGACTSTTTTGCTCTGTTCAGTATCACAGCATATGCTCTCCCCATTTTCATTCCTCCAGCAAAGAAATCTGGTTTATCTTGCATAATAAAGAAATCTGCTATGAGTGAACRTGGCTTATGTTGTATTTTAATATTTACTCTGGTGTGCATTTCTTTGCCACCTCTGAGTAACCTGTCAGGTCAAGATTACTAACCAGGTGCTTTATCATGTTTGCTGTTGCCATGATGTTTTTAGGTGTGATGATAGGTCTGAGAATGTGGTTTCTTCTTGTTATTCCTTCAATGTTTCATTTAAAAAAAACCAAACCAAACCAAAAAAAAAAAAACAAAAAAAAACAAAAAAACAAGCACAAAGTTAGCATTGGTACACAGATTCACAGAATATTTTGAGTTGGAAGGGACTCACAAGGATCATTGAGTGCAACTCTTAAATAAAACCCCACGTGGGGATTGAGCCCACAATCCTGATGTTATTATCACCATTCTCTGACCAACCTTATGTATCTTCAGATCACCCACCTTCAAGGAACAGTGGTCATTTAAGTTGTTYCTCTGGTTTTGAATTTGCGAGTACAGTATGTTGTGGAGTTTTGTCACTTTTCTCTCTCACTTTAAGTGCCCTCTTACATCTATCTGGAAAGAATTGCACTGGAATTGAAGTGGTATTTACAGTGCATCTTCAAAAGAATTGAGGGTGGAAATGGTTTCCTTATTTATGCTGTTCCTGTCGCCAGACTGGACTCTGGAGTGGTTCAGCTACTATGGTAGACAGCTTGGGACAGATCATGTATTTGCTGCCTGCTGATGAGGAATATTAACTTTCAAGCTGGAAAAGTGTATATCTTCAAGCTTGAGCAGTATGTCTACAGGCACCCTCATGCTTTTGATGTTTAAGCGTTTGATAACGCAGTCATAGTTAACAGAAAACATAATTTATGTGGTTTCAGCTGTAATGCACAGTTCATCACCATGCTGGATTTACCATGCTGTGGAAAAGTTTCTCTATGCTTTTAATKGTACATATTTCTAGCACACAACTAAAATTTGTAGGCATAATACATGTGGTTAAGAAGAAAGTAACATTTTGTTGGAGAGATTAATTGTGTTTGGAGTATCTTGACTTTCAAGAGCTTATTTTAAAATTCCCTGATTTACTGTYCTTCAGTGGTCCCTAAGCCAGGGTTTTAGAACATCATTGCATCAATTCTTTCTTTGAAGAGACATTTTTTAAAATGGCAACTACAGGTACTTCAGGGRGTTRCTGATACAAYTATGAGAAATCCAACTATGGMATAACCTGTCAGTAGGAAAATTTAACCGAAGGTGAGTCAATCAGTTGTTGGTGTATATTCTGATAAAACATGGATTAGGTTTAGTCCTGGCTGCAGAGATCAAGTAGAAGAATGGCAAAGTCTTGTTTTTGATTGTAGGGTCTCATGCATCACCAGATGGCTTTCCAGGCACTCAGGTGGAAACATACATTTAGATGTTATTTGCCTTCAAGAATTCACGAGTCTTCGGCGTTATTTTTCTTTTCTAGTAACAAAGTACTTATCACCATTACAGATATTCTAAGAATACTCTAATACTTGTATTGCTTTTCTTCCCRAGAAYKTTTTTTTTAAAGARAACAAGAACTCRTTTTGCTGCCTTTTCTTCTACCCTRATGTTTCCTCTTTGATASRAAAGCCTTTCCTGGCCTTCACACATGATTATTACAGTGGCCCTATTGTTGTTGCTAAGCTGTACATTGTGATATCCTACAAATCTTTATCTCTTGTCAACTTTCACAGAAGTGATGCATCAGAACGTGGATTCTGTTTTATTTTTATGTGGTACAGAACTGCACCTTCCAACCACAATGGTTAATATTTTTCAACGCAAAATCCTTTCTTCTCTGACACAATTTAGTTGGGTTTTTTATTTTTTGACACACAATGCAGGGTTTGCTGTAATGAAACTCAGGACACTGACTCTAGCACACACTGTTCAGGTCATACAAAGAGAAAATTGATTTGAGTCTCACAGTTCCAAGGATGTTTTTTAAAAACTTTTGTTGCGTGTTGCACAGAAAATATCTCTGGTGAATGTTTAGTCAGGACCACTGCAAGTACAGGATGTTCAAATCCAAGGAATTTTAGCTAATACAGTGGTAATCTTAGCAGCTAATTTAGGAAKGTTTAGATTTCTGTTTCTTTACCTGAGTCAATATCTTTAAAAATATGCCACAGTAGAGATCTCTGAATGTAGTTTCTCTTGTTTGCTTTACAATTCTTGACCAAAGGTGGTGCTAAAGTCAAGAGGCATTTMCTGCATCTTCCCCTGCTGTGACAGTGTAATGAATCTCAAGGCCAATTAGACTAATCTGGCATGCTTTGCTCTTAAGAAATCCACATTTGCTGTTGTTTTCCTCTAGTTATCTTCTAGGCAATTGCAAAATATGAGTTTTGTTTACTGAGTATTGATGCTAAGCAGACTGCTTCCCAGACTGATCTTCTTTTCCTGTATTTTTGAAGATGGGAATGCCATTTTTCTTTTTTTTGGTCTTCTGATACTTTACTGGGCCTCTGTGAACCTGAGTGATTCTGGCCAGTGTTGTCAGTACTTTAAGACAAGATCTTCAGATTATTTGGGTCTGATGAAATTTGATTTACTTTTTTTGAGGAAGTATTGTTCCTTCTGTATTCAGGCCACCTGATCMCTCC